CTCCAGGGGCCACTCTCAGCTCCTGGAGGCCTCCCTTAGGTTCTGGCCACGTGGCAGCTTACATCTGCAAAGCCAACAAAGGAATCTCTGCTTCTTCTAAAAATAAGTTTTATGTAATGTAACATAATCTGATCACTTTGGTAATCTAATCAAAGGAGCTACTATCCCGTCATATTCTCAGAGGGGAGGGATTATACACGATATGTATACCAGAGGCTGGGAAACTTGGGGCCATCTTAGAATTCTGTCCACCATGGGTATTTTAATGTTTCCCTCATGTCATTGTGGGCCAAGTGGGACTTTAAGCATTCAGAGTGCCATAGAGTGTGTAAGAGTCTTCTGAATCCCTGAGACATCTTCCAATTTCAGCCAAAGGGTGAATCTCCTGACACCCGTCTTCTTGCATCATGTTCCAGTTTGGTCATGTCAGGGCTCCCAACGTTTTTCCCATTCCCACACTCCTGACAGTTCCCTTGGCTCTACGGAATCCCCTTTACCCAAAGAAATGTTTTGAAATCTTTAGGGGACAATTCATGTCTCGAGAATGTCCAGGGTTGGAAGGTGGGGTGCTCCCTTCTCACCCTGGATATCTGAGAATGACTAGGTTGGATGGTATATTCCTAGCTGGAGCAAGCCCTTAGTCACAGGAAACATCTCAAAACTAAAGGAGATGCTTTGGCGTCTAAATAACTGGGGCGACTGTGACTTACTCCATTCCTAATGGCAGCATGGTATAGGGGACGAACCTCTCTAGAATAGCATGGGAGCTTATCACCCGGTTGGTGAGCCAGACATACAGACAGATGTGATGACGGAAAAAGAGATAAAGGCTGTGACGAAGGTACAAACAGTGCTCCCCGCACACATGGGATAATCACTCTGAAGGTGTATTCAAGATGGTCTGTAGTGAGATGTCAGAAGGAAATTTGTCATAAGAAAAGAAGAGAGCGCAGAGACACACAGAGAAAAGAAAGTGACAGAGGCAGCCATAAACCAAGGAACACCCAGGACCAACAGAAGGCTGGAAGAGGCGAGGAAGGGTTCTTCTCTAGCACAGCACTGCGAACACCTCGATTTTAGACTTCCAGCCTCCAGAACCGCGAGAGAGGGTACATTTCTGTTGTTTAAAGTCGCCCAGTCCCTGGTAGTTTGTTACAACAGCCCTCGGAAACTCATACAGTGCAGGAGAACATTTGACTTCAATAAAGATCTTTCAAGTTTGACATTGCCCATAGAATCCTTATTGGGGATGGCTAGCGGGCGACTGGACATGTGAGAAGAGCAGTTGGGGTTAGAGATGTCAGTTTGGGAGGGATTCATAAAAAAAATGATCACGGAAAAGTCAGGAGTAGATGAGATCGCTGGGAAGAGAGTTTGGAGCAAGAAAATAAGGTAGCGAGCAGAACCCAAGGGTCCACCTCCATCGAAGGGGTGGAGGAGGGAAGAGAAGGCTGAGAAGGAACTGCTATCAGGAAGGAGGAATTGTTCTGTCATATCCAACTGTGGAGAGTTCTACAGGGTTCTACAGGAAACATCTTAAAACTAAAGGAGGGTGGAGAAGCCATGCTGGCTTGAGGAGTCCTTGATAATCATTCATTTCCATACCTCATTGCACTGGTTGAGAAGAGGTGGGAGGTAAAAAAAAGTAGAGGCAGGAATCCTTGACTCCTCTTTCAATAGAGTTCAATTGTGAAGACAAAGAGAAGTGAGATTGATGGTAGATGGAGAAAGAAACACCACGAAGGGAACTTGATGCTCATTCGTCTTTTTAAGAATATGACTCTTTTCATTATATTTTTAAGCCGCAGGAAGGAAGCCAGGAAGAAGATGCAAATAATCGATGAAACAAGCTTCCAGACAAGAGACTCAGAAATATTTTTTGCTATGTACCCACTATGTGCCAGGCACTGTGCTAGGGTTTAGCTGAAAGATTTCGTTGATCTTCTCCACACTACTACAGAGTGGAGAAGGATAGTCCCCTCTCTATAAATGGGGAAACTGAGGCTTAGAATGGTAAAATAATATGCCCAAGTCAGTACATCTGGGATTGAGACCAGGTCTGCTGACTCTATGTCTTCAATTCTTCTCATTATATTATTTTCCCCTGGAGAGAAAGCGATGTCTTTCTCTGATTCACAAAGAATAAGAAGTAGCATAAAAATAAGCAGATTTGAAGTGGAGGAGAGGGAAGTTGTAGGTGTTTCTGTCACATCTTCTGTGTCCTCATTAAACAGAATCAAAATTCTCAGGCATGTAGGAGTAAGAGTGAAGCCAAGCAGGGGTCTTGAGGAGGGAAGGGATTTAGGAAAACCTCGGAGGTGAGATGCAGTAGGGAGCCAGCCAGGGAGAAAGAACAGAACTTGCTTAACAGTTAAGGCTTCACAAGGTTTTTTAGGGATGGCAGGCTGAATCTTTAGGAATGCTAACCTGCATAGGGAAGCAGAAATTTATCTCAACATGGGTATCCCACCGGAAAGATTTTAGTGACAGCTCTGAAAATGCCCCGAGTCATAGATACATCTGATTTTTAACTTGAGACACCCATACACTGAGCCATCAGAGGTCCCCAAGGAATCATCAGTCCCTAACCACTGCGGAAGGAGAAAACACTGACCGGCCCAGAGTTGACCTGACTAATTCAGGTCCTCCCACTGCCTTGCCCAAGCCAGGTGCACTCCCAGCCCCTGGCAGAGTTGGCATTCTGATATGAAAATAACCTAAGTCCTTGACTCAAAAATAACATCTGCTAATTTGCATGAGAGTTTTGCATTTCATATTTGGGCTTAATATCCAAATGCTAAGATTCATTTGTTTGACCTTACTTAAGTAGTTTAGAGGTTCAACCAGTAAAAACTCCTTGCAGAGTTCCACCCTGCTGCACCAGACCCAGCTCCCCATGCTGGATGGCTCTGTTCCCCCGCCACCTGGTACTGGGTTTGCATTGGATTGATCCTCATATGAATTATGGGTTAAAAAGGACAAATCTGTTTATCCGAGGCATGTTATTTTTAAAAGAGTCTCGGGCAGGTGCATCACCCAAAGTTCGCTTGTCGATCAGTCGCTCTGCTGTGGGCCTCTGAGCTGCCTCAAGTCCTCCAGGGTCTCAATGCGTGACAAGCAGCTCCTCCTTGGAACTCCCTGGGACTGGGCATGATGGCAGCAGGTGTGGAGTGAGAGGCTGGAGAGGAGACAGAAAAGAAGGTGTCAGTGAATAATCGCAGGGCCACCTTCTCCATAAAGGCAATTACTGGGATTGATTGTTTCCATGTTTCCTTAGTCACGGTTCAGCTTGCTTGTTTCACTCGGATTAAGGCAGATGAATGCCGAACCACACAGGCGTGTGATGTCAGGAGAATTATCAACGGCACGTTCAAGGCCCCGGCCTTCTTGTACAGTTGCCACTGGGGGTCTCAGCTGAACTGAAAGGAAATCAGCAGCACGTGGGGTGAGGGTAGGAGTCGTGGATTTTAGGTAACACATTCTCTCTGTTTCCTTCCCAGACGTGGTGTCCTCAGGTGGTTTTCCAACTCGAGCATGTGCTGTGCGTCGGCATGCCCCAAGGGCTTGTTAAAAGTGGTACCTGGGCCCCATCCCCAGAGTTTCTAATTCAGTGGGTCTAGGGCTGTGCCCAAGAATCTGTCTTTCTAGCAAGTTCCGGGCTGCTGCTGCTGCTGCTGCTGCTGCTGTTGGTGCTACAGAGTCAGAGGCCCCACTTTGAGAACCAGTGGGGTAGTGATCGAGAGCATGGATACTGGGACCAGGCCACCAGACTTTGAATCTCGGCTCTATCGTTTACTGGCTCTGTGATGCTGGGCCAGTTTCTTAACCTCTCTGTGCCTCCGTTTCCTTACCTTTAAAGCAGGGTTACTAATAACAGTACATAGTTCATGGGATGGTTACAGGAAGTAAATGAATTAAACCCGGAAGCACTTAGACCAGTGCCTGGTCTACAGTATGTGCTCTGCGCATGTTGGAGAAGTAAATGCAGGAACCAGTCTCTCGAGACTATGAGGGAATCGGCCCAAGTCTCATTTCTCCAGCACCTGCAGCTCCCAGTGGAGTTGCTGGGTCATTTTACCCATTAGTCTTCCATCTCATCTCTGGTGGCCAAGAAAGTGAATGCCCAGCTTGGTGCCAGCAGGAGGGAGGTTACATCAAATCCATCAAAATTCTCTTCTCAAGCTCCTTAACCCTTAAAATCTACTGAATATGTAGAATATAACTCATTGAAACTGGAACACTAGGGCGTGTGCATTTAGGGTTACTCTCCCCGGTGCTGGCAAAAAGAAGGGCTGCCTTTCATGTCAAGCTCAGCCATAGCCTCATACTGATTGCTGCCATTCGTTGAATGCTGACTCTATGCCCAGCACTAAATGTTCTATACACATGATTTTTTTTAACCCTCACAATGTCACTACTAGGTAATAATGGTTATCCCTGTTTTAATACTGCTAAGGCTCAGAAAAATTAAATGACTTGTCCAAAGTCACATAGCTATCAAGTGATAAACCCAAAACTAAAAGCCATGTCTGTCTGACTTTGGTGATTGATGATTTTAAAAATGGTCCTTCTCTACCACCTCCCTAGCTTTGTATGAATATTTGTATAAAGAGTAAGACGGGGTCCACGGGTATCCAGCAGTGGCATCTGCTCCCCAAAGGTGATCACCGGGAACTAGAATTGCCTCTGATTCAGAAGTTTGCTTTTCTCAAGCCTGGGGTAGGTCTCACAGAACATGATCCTTTTGGAAATGGCCTCTTTGGTGACTTGCCTTCCATTGCTTGGTTATTCTCTCTGGCCTGACATCTAGAGGAAATTGTGTTCACGTTGCCAAAAGCGTCTTTTCCTTGCCTGAATTGAGATATTGACCTAGTATCTTAACATTTCTGACTGCAAACAGTACTCCCCACCAGATGGTCAGGAGAGCATCCAGAGACTATGTTGAAGACGTGAAGAGAGAAAAAATGGTTTGCTAATGGAACTTTACTCTTTTTCCATAGTGTTCCTTTCTGCCGAAATTCTCCATTCACATAGAAACGAAGTATGAGGACAACAAAGGAAGCAACAACAGCGTGAGTAGCCCCTCTGCTCCGCCCTGCGCTCGGCCCTGCGCTCGGCCCTGCGCTCCGCACTGCGCTCTTGCCCCTTAGGCTCTGCGAGTCACGAGTCACAGTCAGAGTCAAGGTGCTTTTCACAGCCCGCTGTGAAAAGGAGGGTCTGTGCCTGAGACCTCAGAGAAGTTCTGGCCTTCGGCTTCTGAGGGCTAGTGCCCCGGGATTTCTTTCTTTCTGGATTATTTTGTCATCTGGTGTTTCTTCTCATTTTTATGTGCAGAAGTTTCTGTGACCTGGAGTAATTGTCATCGGGGGTTGAGAGGATGGCGGGGACCTTGGAACTCCAGGATTTGGTTTCTGAGCGCACATCTTTTCAATGACTGTCAACATTTACTTAGATGAATACGACCGGATATATGTGTGCATTCCGTATATATTTTCTGGACTATGCGTATGTTCACATATGTACACACGTACGCACATACCCACCTTGTCAGTATACCCCTCCTGCAAAATACTTACCTCGTGAGGCAATCTGACTCTTACTAAATCTCAGCCAACCACTCCGTTTATTAGTACTGCTTCAAATGCACCTTCTGACCTGTCTTTTACCCCCACCCTCTTTCCATTGGGGCAATACATTTCTAAATCTCCTTCTCTTTGGAAGTGAGTGTTTTGACCTATCAAGAGTCACACCCTGAGATTGGGCGTTGGGTTCCATTAGGACACACTGAGGGAAGAGCCTGGATCTAGGAGCTGCAAGACTTCCACTATTCATTTCTACTTCATGTATGTGTTTTGCATGTGTGGGAATGATGAAGATTGAGACTGTGTCAAAAAGGGCAAGAGAGAATTTCCTGACAAGGTGACCCCTTTGTGCCTTCACTGAGCCGAGGCGATGCAGAAAAGGATACAGGAAGTTGCAGAGGTAGCTAAGTGGGCTTGACCATTAACATCTTTTAGTCTTTTCAGATTCCCTTGCTTTCTCTTTTTCTCTATGGCTCTGTCCTCATGAATAGTTAAAAACTGCCCTATTTGTGGAGGTAGAGGGAGGACATGTGTCCTCACTGTGTTCCCTGTAGGACTATAGGAACAGCATAATCTTCTGAGTTATCCTCTGGTCAGTTCAAATAGTCAAGAAAACTCACAACTATCATTTATTATCTTGTATCCCTTTTCGGCAGGCGCTAAAGTTTGTTTATTACTCTTCTAGGAACTTAGCTTTGTCACTGCCCTAACAATTTAAATATCTGTGTGTCCACCCTAAAGTAAGGACCCATGCTTAGAGTCAGCATCCCCTGTCCATGCCAAGGGCCAGGCCTCTCTGAGACCGACACCGTCCTGCAAGAGAAGCTCTAAACCCTGGGAATTTGTGTGTAGTCCTTGTCAACACAATTCACTTCCCCTGGGAGAAATGCCAGTTATTGTACCCTGTGCTGTCTCCTCCCCAACTTATTGATTCTGAGACCGCCATTGGGGCCAGCTCCTTAGCTCACTATCATGGCATTCAGCTTGTCCAAGTCCACATCCGGCCATCTTGTTACACGGTAGGGATCCTAAGTCTGTTTTTGCCCAAGTTCTCTTTTCAGCCTTCGCCCAGCTCTGCTCCGTAGATCCATAGGCCTTGCTTCTGAGGCCACCGGACCAGACAGGCCAGCCCCGGCTTGATTAAACTTCTTCTTTGCCAGTTGGCCTTCCTCTAATTTGCATATTCAGCAGCAGCTATTGGTCGCCCAGCTGGTTCGAGGTTGGTCCCAGGTTGGCAGAAAAGGAAAACTTCATTGACTTTCGTCTACACTTTCGTTCATGTTTTGAAATCAGAACGTGAGAAATATATGTTTATGTAATAGCACTTTAATTATTAAAAGATGGCTTTGTCCAGGGGTTCGAAACTAGAGCCTTAAGCAGGTGGCTTAAGTGCTGGCATGCACTTTTCCTGTCTGTGGATGAGAGTGGAGTTTTCGGTGGGTGGCAGAGTTGCTAAAGAAAGCAGTTCGGCGGTGGCTATTTCTCTCGTCTTAGTGCTTTGCCAAATGATTTAATAAACTCACTTCATTTCTTTGCATTTTCTGGGTATATAGTCTTATCGTTCAGCTACCATCCTTCATACTACTGTCTGTGCCCTGTTTCCTCTCCTACCTGCCAAAAATTTAATGAAATTGATGATGATAAGAAGCAATAATGAAATTGAAAAACACTAGTGATAATCATATTGATTAGTGATTGAATAGAGTACATGTCGCTATCTTGTTATCAATCACCGCATAAGTAATTTTTTTACATTATCCAATATCTAGCTAAAAAAAAATATGAGCGGTGGGGATTGTGAAAACCTGTAAGTTGTGAATACATTAACCAGGACACGATGGGGAAGTTGTCTTAAATTGAGGTCCATTTATTTTATGCACGTACTGATGAGAATTATTTGAGCCTTAATTAGTGCTGGGGAGCATGGCACCATGCCAAATGAAGGTTCTGTTGTTTGTCCAAGGCCATAAATCCAGGTCTGGGAGAGTCAGTGCTCAGCGCTCGTGGGACGGCTGCTGCCAGGTTACTGCCATTCCCTGGGGTTAATGGGGGGCAGTCTTGCCTTTACTTCCTCTTCCAAACAGAGCAGGCTCCATTTCAAGCAGTGGTTCTCAGCCTTGGCTGCACATTGGACTCACCTCAGAGGTTTTAGCCATGGCTCAGGCCTGGTTTCCACCCCCTGCCCCAGGATTTAATTGGTCCTGAGTGCAGGCTGGTCTCAACGAGCCAACACACACGCGGGAGAACACATCCCTCTAGGAATGTCAGATTCGCCCATTGGGAATGTGTGCAGTTTGAGAGTCCACCCTCCAGTTAAATCCAATATGTTCTCTTTGGGGGGATGTGGGACATGCCATCCCGCCCCATTCGAGGATCTAGACCAATGGTTCTCAATCGTGGCTACTTATTAAAGTCACCTGGGAAGCTTTAGCACTCACAGATGCCACCATCTCAACCCCTGGGCCTCCGGCTTCATTTGTCTGGGATGGGGTCCAGCCATTGGGATTTGTAAAGCTCTCCCAGGTGAATCTGAGGGGCATCAAGGCTGAGAACTACGGATTTAAAAAAAATATTAAGTTCTATTTAAAACCAACTGTGAAATTTAGGAAATCAGGTTCTCCAAATTTCTTCTTCATACCCCTGGAAACAGAGCAGTTTACAAAAAGCACATTTATAACCACCACCACTATCACCTAAACACACAATAAAAGGGCTTGAGGGCACCGTATTTATTCTCATTAGCCATTATTCCTCAGTGACAAACCCCCTTGGATCAGATAGAAGAATGTTCTGTTTGGTTCCTGAAGCTCGAGGCTCTGTCCTTCACAGAGCTCTCCTTGGAGGTTGCCTCAAATATTTGGAATTGATTTAGCATCTAGTTCAGCTGTGTTGTAATAAAAGAACACAACATTGTTCTTTCTGAAACAAAAAGATCAGTGTTGAAGTCCCAGCTATGTGACCTTAAGCCATGGAGTCCTGGTTTCTTGATCAAGAAAATTGAGTAAATAATGTTTGCATCAGTGTGGAGTATTCATACAGGTATTTTGCCTGGAAGCACTTTATAAACTATAAAGGGCTGCACAGATATTAGGTATTGCTTCAGTTATGGTCATACGGTGGGATTAACTGTGTTTATGATGATTTCCTAATGAGACTCTGCTTTTGTCTGAATTGTCAATAAACCTTTTCTTATTCAACAAATTTGGGGTACTTACCATGTGCCAGGCATTAGGAGAGGCACTGAGGATCCAGCTGTAAGACAGACAGCGCCTCCACTGCTCATGGAGTGGGGGAAAGCAGATAATAAGCAAGAAAGCAAACAAAAAATTCCAGCTGTAGAAGGTGTGAAGAAGGCAATAAATAGGATGGAGGGGGAGCTCAGCTTGAAGCCATGTAGTCAAGAAATATCTCACAGAAGAGGTGACAAGTCCATGTGAGACCTGAGGATGAGAAGGAGCCAACCATCCGAAGGGTTATCCAGGCAAGGAAACTGTTACAGATTGTGTAATATGTTGAAGTACCTCAAAATATGACTTGTGTTTGGAGATAAGGCCTTTACAGAGGTGATTAAGTTAAAACGAGACCATTGAGGAAGGCCCTAGTCCAGTCTGAGCGGTGTCCTTAAAAGACGAGGAAACCTGGACACATGGACCGAGGATGTGTGAGTACAGAGGAAAGACCACAGGAGATGGACCATGTGAGGACACGGCAGAAAGGTGGCCATTTGCAGGCCAAGGAGAGAGATCCCAGAAGAAACCACACCTGCCAGCACCTTGCTCTTGGACTTCTAGCCTCCAGAACTGTAAGAAAATAGAATTAGGTTGTTTAAGACACTCAACGGGTCCTATTTTGTTATGGCAGCCTTAGCAAACTAATACAGGGACAAAACAGGCAACATCACAGCCACAGCCACAGCCTGGCATAAGGAACTGTCTGAAAACCGGTGGCCAGAGAATTAGGAGTGGGAACAGACTAAGAGGAAATGAGATTTTTTTAAAAAGTAGCAGAAGCCAGATCACGTAAGACCAGTGAGGCAGAGTTTAGATTTTAGTGCAGTGTATTTTAGGAGGAAGTTATGCAAAGACTTTAAACAAAGGAGAGAAATAATATTTATTTATGAGACTTTCTAATAAACTTTTCAGTTTGGAATAATCTTACATTTGTACTATCTCATTTAGCTAAAACTACATCTTTTGGATGAATGGAGTAAGTGTTTCAGTGCAGGAACTTGGCTCAACTTGCATCGCCTTTGAGGATAGCCAGAGACGTTCTCCCCGTGACCACAGACAGCTTTCTCTAAAGCTACCAGATGACAGAAAGGGAGTTTTATCATCTGAGAGCTCTGGTTATTGAGTATTTGTTATTATAATAGTCATCATGGCATTCGTTTCATTATTGCTATTCATATTTTTATTTTTAACATCGAGAGGGCAACATGGATGGATATAGGGTAAAATAATTTATTTATGCATTTCAAAACGTACTAAAGT